ATCTAAAAAAAATCAAAACAAGTACAGTGAAATAATCTGAAAAGACATAGAAGTCTCAGTAAGAGTGTTTATATATATATATATATATATATATATATATATATATATATATATATATATATATATATATATATATATATATATATATATATATATATATGTGTGTATATATATATATATATATATATATATATATATATATATATATATATATATATATATATATATATTAGGGCTGTACCGGATTTCGGCTCCGGCTCCTGCTCCGGCCAAAATCCGGCCATTTTTACAAATCCGGCCCAAATCCGGCTCCGGCAAAAATTTAGCAAATCCAGCATAATTTTAGCCGGAGTTTTGAATTTTGTCAAATATTTATTACATTTTTTTTGCCCGTGTTTACATGTATACCTAATATTTTATTTATAAAAAATCAATTTTTTTTTGTAATTCTATATTTTATGAATTTTATCCTCATATTTGTTTTGGTATTTGTATTTATATTTCTTTATAATTTAATAAGCTTAGTTTAATTTCAAACAACAACGCAACAAAAAATTCTGAAGGGAAGACACACGATATTCTACAATGATGCAGGTATAAAGACTATGATGTCAACCCTAATCAAGTGATTGGATGAGCGTTTTAAAAGCATTGCAAAGAGAAACCTCTTTATATACTGACGAGGCTGGTTGACTTACAATTTAAAACTAAATTCTCCTCATTATAGGCAACACTGACAGCTGAAAAAACAAGATTGAAGTCAATCTGAGCATGCTGAACAGAAGATTGACAAAACTTAAGAAAATCCACCAAAATAAGCCGGGCTTAATAATTTTTCTACATCATCATCATCATTACTCTGGCAATTTATTGATAAAATTATTCAGTCTACGTCCGCTGGTGGCAGGGCACATAAACAACAATTACTAAAAGGCATTGAAACTCAGCTAAGAGCAAAAAATAAATAGACACAATGATCCACTACAGTGGCGGAGTGACAAAATCCCGGGAAAAAAGTTCAATAGAATTACTATAAACTTTTAAAACATATGGCCTATAGAATTTCTTTAGAATTTCTATTAATTTATATATAGAAATTGCTATAAAACTTTTTAAATAACAACAATGAAGTTTAACAGAACACAGCAGTCACTTGGTATTCTGAATAGTCCACATTGTTGACCATGCTCAACACCAAGTAGGGATGTACAGGATTTTGGCTCCTGTAGTTTTGTTTTGAAATCCGGCTCCGGCTCCGATTCCGGCCGGATCTGTCAGTAGAAATCCGGCAAATCCGGCTCCGGCCGGATTTGAAAAAATTAAATCCGGTACAGCCCTAATATATATATATATATATATATATATATATATATATATATATATATATATATATATATATATATATATATATATATATATATATATATATATATATATATATATATATATATATATATATGTATATATATATATATATGTATATATATATATATATATACATATATATATATATATATATATATATATATATATATATATATATATATATATATATATATATATATATATATATATATATATATATATATTATCAATATTGCAACAATTGCTACAAGTAAACAACTGTAGGTTTAGTTTAGGCTAGAATCTACAGTAAACCCTAAGCTGTCACTTTTGAGATCGCTACTTGTCCTAGGTGATCAAAAATTAATGACTATATGTCAGGACTTAAGCTACATTTTTTTTTATTTTTTTTATTTGCATTCACTCCCAACAAGGCTGCAAGCGACTATTAAGTTGGGAGTTACTAGGAGAAAAAAAGAACAGAGTTATAGAGCAAGGAAACAGTTGACAGAAGACTTGAAAAGTTGAAGGTTATATGAGTCATGAACATGAAGATGGGAGAGAGTTCCAAAGGATTGAAGTGCGGGGAAAAAAACTAGATGAATAAAAGTTTTTAGAGCATGCAGGGACAGATACAGTAAACGAATGAGACTTAGCTGAATGACGAGTAAAACGAGAATGAATTTTAGTTGATGGAACTAGAGATGATAACTCCTTTGAGCAGTGACCATGATAGTATCTGTAGAAAAGAGAAAGAGATGCAACTTTACGACGATGGGAAAGAGGTTCAAGCTTAGCAGATAGTCTAGGTCCAACAACATTTACAATGCGTTTTTGGACCTTGTCAAGAAGAGAAAGTGAATCGTTAGAAGAACCAGCCCAAATATGACAACAGTATTCCATACAGGGACGAATAAGAGATTTGTAGAGGTAGAGAATGGAATCAGAAGTAAGGAAATGGCGAGCACGATAAAGAGAAGCAACCTTAGCAGAAGCTAATTTAGCAATCGATTGTATATATGGTTTCCATGAAAGGTCAGTAGTAAGCGATAATCCAAGAAGACGTAAAGAGGACGACTCAGTAAGAGGATTGCCATTCATTAATATAGGAATTTTGACCATATTACGGTAGTTGTTTGCAGTAAGCAATTGGGTTTTTTTAGAGTTGAAATTCACAAGCCACTGTGAACCCCAATCTATTACTGAAGTGAGATCAGATTCAAGATCAGCTGCTTGTTCTAGGCGATAGAAAAGAGAAGACTTTTTGTCAAGACAGGAGTATAAAGTTGAGTCATCAGCAAATAGAGCTACTTTAGATGAAAGGTTGTCAGGAAGATTGTTTATATAGATAAGAAACAAAACAGGGCCCAGGATGGAACCTTGGGGAACCCCAGAAGTTACTGGAAATAAAGAAGAGTGTTGGCCTTCAAGGATGACTTTAATAAACCGGTTAGAAAGAAATGATTTGATAATCTCAAAAACTTTCCCAGAAACACCATATGAAGCAAGCTTATGGAGAAGACCAGCATGCCAAACTTTGTCGAAAGCTTTAGATATGTCGAGAGCAATAGCCCTAGCCTCACCGCCTCCATCTAATGCACGATAAAATCTTTCAGTTACAGCAGCAACATTAGAGAAAAGATGATCAGGAAGAGCATTAATAATTAGATAAACAATTTTATTATATATTATATATATACATTTTGTTATTATTATAATTATCACTATATATTATTAATAACATATAGTGATAATTATAAAGTGAATAGAAAGTGAAACATTTTTAAAGGCCTAAAGATATTATATGCATAACATATTTGAAGATATTATATACTATAATAAACGAAAGGAAGAAAATTCTTTAAAAATCTTTTTAAAATTTTTTTTAAACATTAAAAAGCTTTAAATTTTTAATTAAATTTAAATTAAAAACATTGTTAAAGATTTGTTGCACATATATCATACTTATATTATTAATGTGCTTGGTAATTAGTTAAGTTTGCGCATTAAAGAGACAATTTTCTTTCTTATAGAAAAAAGATTTTACATGCAAACTTTAATTTTCTTTGAAATTAACGGGGCAAGAGTCCTAATAAGCTGCAGATCTAAAAAAAAAAAACTATTATAAATTTATTTAAAAAAATTAATCCCCTATCCCCATTTTTTTCTTTTTTATAGAAATTTACAGAAGTTATAAGAAGTTATAAAGTATTAAACATTAATTGTTAACAAAGATTTTTATTTTTTTCTCTTGTTTAAAAATTATTAAAATGGTTGGTGTAGAATTAGACTTACCATGACCAATCTTATACAGGTCATAAAAAGTCTGTTGTTCTACATATTAAAGCCATCTCAAGTCTTTTGAAACATTTTATACTGATGGTAATTAATTTACACATTTCAAGTAGGTATTCTAAATATTATTTAGACTGGTACTAGTATTCAATCCTTTAATAAATAGCAATGTCTACCGAAACGCTTAGTGTTTAGTCTACCTCTAACTAAAAAATTGAAGTAAGGATTAAGTATAAAAAGTCAGTGTGGAATAGATTACTAAGATCTGTATATTACGGTTCATGACAGCTAGTTTTATTATAATAATATTATTACAACAATATTAATATTAATATTAGATACAACTAAGTAAACTTAATTTAACTTTTTTTTAACAAACCCACAAAAAATATTATAAAATAATTAAAAAACAAGAAAATTAACTTACATGTCAGGATTTTGATGAAGAGCTGAAAATTGTTCTTCCAAACTAAAAAATAATTATCAATATTTTTATCATTATTACAAAAAAAAAGTAAATAATAATAGTGCAGTACTATAATAGTGGTAGAATGCTTAACATTCCAGAGGTTGAAGGTTCAACCTGTTTCTTAGCACTATAACCTTGCTAAACAAGGTTTGTGTTTCAGAGCTTAGGGTTTGGAGAGATGCTAATAAAATAATAACAATATATATATATATATATATATATATATATATATATTTATTATTATATACGTTTATTAATAGTAATGAGGCTATTGCTTAGTTGTTAAATAGTGTACTGAGTACTATCTATACTTGAGTCAAGTTCTTTATAAATTTAAAATGACTAAAGTACCTAAAACTAAAAAACACAAAAAACCATTGTCATCACCAAGTTCTCTAAACCTATCATTTACTAATATTCGTGGTCTTCGAAGTAACTTTTCTTCTGTTGAGTCTTATCTCTTGCAAAGTTCACCAGACCTACTTGCTCTTTGTGAGACTAATTTGAGTTCGGCTGTCCCTTCTTGTGATCTTAGTGTTGATGGTTATCTTCCTTTAATTCGTAAAGACTCCAATAATCACATGCTTGGCCTGGGCATCTACATTCGTAAGAACTCACCCATTTCTCGTGAAACTAGGTTTGAATCTACAGACTATTCATTTATGTGCTTTCGTTTAGCACAACTTCACTCTATCGCCTTTCTCTTTGTTCTATATCGCTCTCCTTCATCCCAAGATTGCACTATTCTTGATGTTATTTCTGATCAAATTGACCAAGCCCTCTCTCTTTATCCATCGGCCAATATCGTCGTTGTTGGTGACTTTAATGCCCATCACACCGATTGGCTTGGCTCTAGTGTCAGTGACTCTGCTGGCGTTAAGGCCCTCAACTTTTGCCTTTCTCAATCTCTAACTCAAATAGTCAACTTTCCAACTCGTTTTCCAGACAACCCTAATCATTTACCTTCTCTACTCGACTTATGTCTTGTTTTGGATCCTAGTCAGTGCTCAATCTCTCCACATTCACCCTTAGGTACTTCTGATCACGGTTTGATCTCTCTAAAACTATTATCAAATTCTTCTACTTCATCAGAATCCCCCTATCATCGTACCACATACAACTACCTTAAAGCTGACTGGGACTCTTTCCGTGATTTTCTTCGTGATGGCCCTTGGGTAGAAATCTTTCGTCTTCCTGCTGACAAATGTGCTTCTTACATAACTTCGTGGATTCAGGCTGGCATGGAATCTTTTATTCCCTCTCGACGATTCCAGGTCAAGCCTCACTCTTCTCCTTGGTTTTCCTCACATTGCGCTGCAGCAATTTCTAATCGAAACCGTTACTTCCATATCTATCAGCAAAACAATTCTCCAGAAAACAGACATCTGTTCACTATCGCCAGAAACCATTGTAAAAAGGTTTTGTCTGACGCCAAAACTCGCTATTCCCAGGTCATTAAATCTCGTATCTCATCACAAAAATTAGGCTCTCGAGACTTCTGGAGAATCTTTAACAGTATCAATAATAAGGGCAAATCTGTTTTTCCTTCTCTCTTGTATGGTTCAGACTTTGTCACCTCACCTAAAGACAAAGCTGAATTGTTTGCTAAGAACTTTTCATCAATATCATCTCTTGATTCCACTAGTTGCGTTTTACCTGACATAGCCGTCAAACAGGTTGATCCCTTGCTTGACATTCGCATCACTTCAGCTTCTGTATCTAAAGTAATTTCCTGCTTAGACTCTTCAACAGCTTGTGGTCCTGACAACATTCCTGTTGTAGTCTTGCAGAGGTGTTCTCCGGAGCTTTCATCCATACTTTCTAAACTATTTAACAAGTGCTTATCAGAGTCTTGTTTTCCATCATGCTGGAAAGCAGCATCTGTTACCCCTATTTTCAAAAATTCCGGAGAGCGATCTGATTCATCTAACTACCGTCCCATTAGTCTTCTTCCTGTCATAAGCAAGGTTTTTGAATCTTTAATCAACAAACACTTAATCTCTCATCTTGAATCAAATAACTTACTTTCTGATCATCAATATGGATTTCGGTCTTCTCGTTCTACAGCTGATGTGCTAACAGTAATAACCGATAGGTTTTACCGTGCATTAGATAGAGGTGGAGAGGTTAAGGCTATCGCACTTGACATTTCTAAAGCTTTTGATAAAGTTTGGCATGCTGGTCTTCTCCATAAGCTTTCTTCTTATGGTGTAGCTGGTAACGTCTTTAAGATTATTGAGTCCTTTCTTTCCAATCGTAGTATAAAAGTTGTCCTCGATGGACAACACTCTTCTTCACATCCTGTAACTTCAGGGGTTCCTCAAGGTTCAATCCTTGGCCCTATACTCTTTTTAATTTACATTAACGATCTTCCAGATATTCTCACATCTAAGGTGGCATTATTCGCTGACGACACTACCATTTACTCTTGTCATGATAAGAAGCCTACACTCTCTGATTGCTTGGAGGGGGTATCTGAGCTTGAAAAGGATCTCACTTCTGCTACAGCATGGGGCTCACAGTGGCTGGTGAACTTTAATTCAGATAAAACTCAGTTTTATTCGGCCAATCGTTATCGTAATAATTTAGATCTTCCTATATTTATGAATGGTAATGTACTAGATGAGTCATCTACCATTCATCTTCTAGGATTAACTCTTACTTCTGATCTTTCTTTTAAACCGTATATCAAATCCATTGCAAAATTAGCATCTGCTAAGGTTGCATCTCTTTATCGAGCTCGACACTTTCTTACTCCAGATTCTATTCTCTATCTCTATAAATCTCAAATCCGTCCCTGTATGGAATACTGTTGCCACATCTGGGGCGGATCTTCTAATGATGCTCTTTCTCTTTTAGACAAGGTGCAAAAACGAATTGTAAACATAGTTGGACCTGCTCTGGCAGCTAATCTCCAACCTTTGTCACATCGTCGTAATGTTGCTTCTCTTTCTCTTTTCTACAAATACTATAATGGGCACTGCTCTAAAGAGCTAGCGTCCCTTGTGCCATCTACTAAAATTCATTCTCGTGTTACTCGCCATTCAATTAAGTCTCATCCTTTTTCTGTGACTGTTCCTAAGTGTTTCAAAAACTCTTATTCTTCTAGTTTTTTTCCTCGAACATCAGTTCTTTGGAATTCGCTTCCTTCATCTTGCTTTCCTGATTCATATAATTTGCAATCTTTTAAGTCATCAGTCAATCGTTATCTTGCTCTACAGATTTAGTCTTTTCTCTTCCAGTAACTTCCAACTCTTATAGTGGTTGCTTGCAGCCTTGTTGGAAGTGAAGATGTTAAAAAAAAAAAAAAAAAAAAAAAAATATATATATATATATATATATATATATATATATATATATATATATATACATATATATATATATACATACATACAGAATAGCCTCTTTGACTGTAGTAGCTCTGGAATCTTGGGTGAATTTAATAAAATCAAAAAAAAAAAAAAAAAAAAAAAAAAAAAACAAATCAATCTTGAAAAAAAGAACTCTTAAAATCTCTTGCATACATACCTATCACCTCCAAGTATAATAGCAAACTTTAAAGTTGTAAACTTCCCTAACTAATATAAAAAAATTTAACTTTGTTTTTTTCTTTGATTCTTTTCCACAATTTTGTTTCTAACTTAAGAAAAAAACTTAATAAACCTCTTTAGCAAACTTTAATGTTTGAATTGCAAGCTCTCTTGTAGGTGATAAAATTAATCCTCTTGAACCCTGAACAAAAAAAAAGAAATGAAAATTATTACATTTATAAAGCAATTTAAAAAAAAAAGATAAACAGTTACTTACATTAGGTGAATGTGTTTGCAACTTCTGAAAAAGAGGAAGAAGAAATGCAGCTGTTTTACCAGATCCTATTATTGATATTTGATTTAAAAATTTTAAAATTAATTTTAAATAAAATGAATAATTATAAAAATATTTATTTCAGTTCAAGAAATTTTAATAATAAAAATATTATTACCTGTTCTTGCCATTGCAACAACATCTTTACCATCCATTAGAACAGGAATAGTCTTTAATAAAAACAAAAAAACACTTAAAAAAATCTGAATAAAAATATCAACCAAAAATTTTTAAAAACATTTCACAAGTAAAAAATGCTAAAATTTTGAATTTTATATCAGAAAGTATTACAGTCAAGACATGAAAAAAAAAAAGGATATTATAACCAGTATTAAAATAAAAAGTAGTTATAAGAACACGTAAGAATGTTTATGTCAAGACATCAAGATCAAATTAAATTTACAAACTTTAAATTTACTTTTCGTTGAATTGGCGTAGGCACTTTGTATCCTTTTCGAATTATTCCTTTATAAATTGCATAAGAAAATCCTGAAATATAAGTTTTAAAAGTTATTAATTTCTCAATTATCTGTTTTAACAATCTGTTAAGCAAGCTGTTATTAATTTGATAATTATCTGTTTTCTAAACACTTTCATTTATAATATAATATTTTTTACAAAAGATTTGTATAGATATTGAAAACAAGAACATCCAAGATATAGCTATAATAATAATGCTAATAATGCTGTAATAAAATAATATAAAGCTAATAATAACAACAATTAATAGCAATAACAATTAGCAATTATAATTGCTAATAAATACTAAAAAGTATAATAATAACAATGAACAATAATAACATGAAATTTTAGAGTTAGAATAATAACTCCAAAAATTCATGGTAAATTGTTTTTTTAAAAAAATTTTGAACTAGATATTTTTAAGAAACATTTGGACAGATTTATAGATTTTCATTTAAAAAAAAATTAAAATATTTCTTAGCAAAGTTCTTTAATTACCCATTGATTGGAACCCGCCTGTCTTTTTTTGCTTTTTACGCTGTTCTTTTGCTAAGTCACCCACTTCCAATTTGTCATCAAAATCTGGAGATAAATTTTTCTAAATTAAAAAATAATAATAGTGTTTTACTATAACTATATATAAACAAGAGTTATAACAACAACAACAACAACAACAATAGACCTTTTCATAAATAAACGTCCGCATAATTCTAAAACGAGGCTTAGGTTGTACCGTTTGTAAACAAACCAAATGGCTTCTAATAAAAAACCTATAAGAAAATCATCTGGCAAACAATGTGCTGCCTATAATTGCTTCAATCGACGCTATATTATCGAATTTGGAGAGCGAATGGCTTCTGGCATTAAATTCTTTCATTTACTAAAAGATAAAAATGAAATTTCTCTTTGGTGCAAGTAGATAAAATGTAAAAATGGTTTAGATGGTTTTAATGTTACTAACTCATCATATTTATGCTACTCTCATTTTAAATCGCGGGACATTTTAAGAGCTGCTGGAGGAACAAGATGTTCTTTAAGGAAAGGCGCTAAACCATCACTTCATAGCTGGAATAATTTCAAAACTAGTCAAAAAGAAAGAAAACCACCTGGTTATAGAAAATCTCCTCCTAAAAGTATAGTTTTGCCTGACAATGATGTTCTTAACAAAACAAGTAGTAGCTCAAATAGAGAATCACTCCTTTCAAGCAAATTAAAAATGAAACAGTTGCAAAATGAAAATAAAAAAATAAAAGAAACAATATCTAATGAAGGAAATAAATTTGTTGAGCATGTTCTATCATGTGAAAAAGAATTAAAACATTACACAGGATTTCCGAATCGAAAAACATTTGATGCAGTTTTTATATATCTTGACCCCGGAGAAAATGGAGAAAATTTTATCTTATACAACAGTAAGCATTCACAAGAAAATAAAAATAGGGGGAGAAATCGAATTCTGTTACCATTAGAAGCATATTTATGAACTTTAGTGCGATTAAGAAGAAATTATGATATAATTTAACATTTCTTTTTTCAGTATGTGAAGGAACTGTAAGTAACACTGTTATAACATGGTTGAACTTTATGTATATACGGCTGGGTAGCCTTAGCATATGGCCTACATTAACTCAAGTAAAACTAAATATGTCTCAGTCAATGAAGAATAAATCTCTTAATGTTAAATGCATCATTGATTGTCTCAAAATAAAAGTAGCTGTACCTCAGTCATTGACTGTACATAAATTGCTCTATTCTGACTATAAAAGTCACACAACTGTAAAGATTTTAGTTGGCATTGCCCCAGGCGGTGGTTTTTATTTTATATTTGCTGCTTACCCTGGGAGTATATCAGATAAAGAAATAACGATTAAAAGTGGACTTTTAATTCCAACTTTATGGAATCACGGTGAAGAAGTTATATCAGATAGAGGTTTTACTATACAAAATTATTTGAGTCCACTTGGAGTTAAATTGATTATTCCATCGTTTCTTCGAAGTCAAGAACAATTCACTGAAACAGAGGTGATACAAAGTCAGCAAATTGCAAGTGAGCCCATTCATGTTGAGAGAATGATTCAAAGACTAAAATGTTTTCATATATTTGATAGAGTTATTCCTCTAAACATGATTGGTTCTCTCAATCAAATAGTTACAATTTGTGGATTTTTAACTAACTTTCATGAGCCTATTATAAAAAACGCAGATAGAAACTAATGAATAAAAATGCATTGAGAGAACAACAAAAATTTAACATTGAATATTGAACATTTATATATATCATAAAGAACTACAAATAGATTTCTTATATATATATATATATATATATATATATATATATATATATATATATATATATATATATATATATATATATATATATATATATATATATATATATATATATATATATATATATATATATATATATATATATATATATATATAGTATTGTATATTTTGGTTAGCAATTGTATGTCACACTAATTTAGGGAAGGGTGAGGGCTTTAGTACATACATCAACTGATTTAGGGAGAACCCGCAAGGGAGTTAATAACATATTCAAGGGTTTAGGTTAGGGCAGAGATCAAATTTTTTTCATTACTATTCCTTTTCCCTCTTCTTTTTCATTATAAAATAGTGAGAATTTCCCTTACGTTAGCTCACTTTTAGCTCACCAAAACACTCTATTGTAAGTGTTTGTGTAAATTTATAAATGTATATACTATACAATAGAATCTGCAAATTTCAATAAAATATTTGTCTTCAAATTAAAGCATTGTTATTTATTTTTTCAATTATTTCATCCAACATGTAGTTGAAGTAAAAGTCTAATACTCTCTTCCTTAAAGTCTCCCAATATACTTTGTCATACGTAATACGATCAATAACTAATCCTTTTGAAGTGTAGAATAAAAAATCACACCACGTTTGTGTTGTTAATCCAAGTTGCATTTGGATTTGATCATAATAACTATGGTTTTTGTTTATTAAAATTTTATTACTAGATTTATCAAATATTATAGATGGATTTTTTGCTACAAAACACATATCTTTTGGGCCCAGGTTACTATATTCTTCACTGCACTTAATTTCTATTATTCCACAATCATTATCACACCTAACTTTCCTATCAGATGATGCACCCAAAACAAAATTTTTTTCATCAATTACTAAACCACATAGTTCTACATCTAGTTCTAGTATCTAGTCATTGGATTTCATAAAGTTTTCATAATATTTTAACGCTATAAGTTCAAATTATTTACCATAAAAAAGTTTATATGAAATAATATTGTTTAAATTAATTTTGTTTTCATCATAGACAAGTTTGTGTGCCAAACTTTTGAATCCTTTTGGAGATTTGTTCTCTAACTTATTACATAAAGATGCAGTGAATCGATTCCTTCTTTAATCAAACCATTTTGAATTTCCATCCTGTTCACGTGTTTCAGTTTCGATTTGAACAACTATTTCCTTCACTAACTTCATATTTTCTAAAATATTTATTTTTTTATTACGATTTTTTTAATTTAACAAGTTATTGAAACATCAGTTTCATTAAAAGGGAATGTAGGGTACTCAATGTATTGAACACTGTCTAAATTTTTTGAAGGTTCAGGTAAGTTGTAGTAAACATTGTAACTTTGTGGAACTAAAGCACATTGATAGCTTAATACAGACTCAAATGGGACGCTTCCTAGGCTTGTTTTGACTGTTCCTTCATTTGATTTATTCAAAACATTCAACATATGCACTTTAACATCATTGTTTAAAAGATTATTATAAAGCTCATTTATTTTATTTTCACTTTTTCTGTTTAAATCAGTTCTACTATCGTACAATGATGATTTGATTGTGGCAAATGAACATACTTTTCTTTTCGACAAAGGTTTTTTATTTATTTGTGGTGATATAATTTTTATATCACTTATTGGTGTTTTATCAAATCTTTTACGAATTTGTAGTATTGACCAAGCACAAGTTCTTGATGTACAGGCTTAAATATTTGAAACAGTTTTCAGTTTTTTAACTACCCATTTTGCAACAAGTTTTATCATTGCAAATG